AGAGTACCCTTCCCCCTCTCTCTGGGCAGCCACTCTCACTTCCTCTCTGAAACACTTCTAAAGTCTATTTCTGTCCCTCCTGCCTGGTTGGCCACCACCACCCCTCACCTGTCTACCATCCTAGTCTCCTTCCTGGTCTCCAGTCTTGCCCTGGTGTCCAGTCTCTGCACAGTGGTCAGGAGATATCTTTCGAACACTGATCAAACCGCGTTGTCCCTTTCTTAAAACCTTCCATGGCTCCCTACTACCGTCAAGACGACACCTGTGCTCCCCAATCTGGCCTCTAAGGCTTATCTCTGGCCTCCTATCTCACCGGGCCTACCTCCACCTCTCTGCTCCTGCTTGATCAAACTTCCCCACTCTTTGAATCTGTTTCCGCTCCCATTAGAGGCCAACTCTCCTCTAAGGCTCTAGATCCTTCCCACTCTCCACCTCCTCCAGGGCCTTGCTGCTGCAAGTCTCTCCTTTCTCCTGCAGAATCAATTCTGTCTCTACTAGACCATATTCTACCCTCTTCCACCCCTTAAAAAAAAAAAAAGGCACCTTCTCTTGACACCACCCATTCCCCTTCTTGCCACCCTCCCCCATCTCTGCACTCCCCTTCAGAACAAAAATACTCCAAACATTTGTCAACATCTGCTGTCTCCATTTCCTCCCCTCCCATTCACTCTTCAGCACCCTCCTGGCTGGCTACCAGCCCCACGATTCCCCAGCAACTGCTCTTGTCAACGTCACCACCGCCATCCATGCAGCCAAATCTAACGGTCAATTCGTGGTGCTCACATTGACAGCATCCGACTCGGGGCACCAGCTCCTCCTTCCAGAAGCATCTCTTCTCTCAGCTTTTCTGGCTCTCCTTCCACCTCACTGTCCTAGGCCCCTTCCCTAGACCCTCTTCCTAGATGACCTCATCCATTCTCGGAGCATTTCCAACCACAGGCTGATCACGCCCAAATTCTTCTCCAGTCCAGACTGGCCCATCTACCTACTCAGTGTGTCCTCTTGAATAACTGAGTAAAATCCAAACTAGTCTTTGCAATGACTTATGCGACCCTGCATGGTCTGGCCTGTGTCCTACTCTCTTGTATCAGTCTCCCCCCTAATTCCCTAAAGTTCCAGCCATGCCAGCCTTTTCCCCATCCCAGGGCCTTTGCACATGCTGCTCCACCCACCTAGAACACTCCTCCCCAGTTCCCCTTCTCTGAGTTTCAGCTTAAATGCCTCCTCCTCAGTAAGGCCTTCCAAGACCACCCTATCTAAAGTAGCCTCCAACCCTTATTCTCTACTTCATCACTCTACCGGTTTTCTTTCAAAGCACTCATCACTATTTGAGACTTTTATTTATTTGCATGTCTACTCAATGTCTGATTCTCCTACTCAATTACAAGCCGCCTAAGGGCAGGGCAATGTCTGTCTTATTCACTGCTATATCCCCAGAGTCTAGCGCCATCTTTGGTCTGCAGTAGGTAGTTAATGAACATTTTTTAATGAATGAATGTCCCCACACCTCAGTCCTCCCCCAAATCCTAAGTCATGCTATTTTGGGGGACTCCCCCACCTCTGCTCCCAAAGGCACCCCACACATCGTTTTTGCTCGGGCTACCCCAATCTCTCACTTCTTGACCCCCCATAACACCATCTAATGCTCTATTCGCGACCCCCATAATTGCCTTCTCTATTAGGACTGTCCCCCCGAACCCCCCAGGCGGTGGCATCCACCCCAGGTCTCCCCACTAGCTAGCACCACCATCACTCCCCTGCCACATGGTACTGCTTGGTAGCGCCCTCTTCAGGTCTCACCACCTGGTAGCGACTCTCCAGATCTCACATTTGGTAGCGCCCTCATTCCGGTCCCCCTGCGGCCCCACACTTGGTAGCGCCCTCCTGGGTCTCCCCACTTAGTAGCACCCGCTCCGGCCACCACTTCTAGGTGTTACCCCTCCTCTTCAAAGGCCCCTATGTCGCCCCTTGGGAGCGCCATCCTGGGCCTCCCCACGCCTGGTCACTTGGTAGTGTCTGCCCCGCGCCCAGGCTGCAGCTCCGCGTTGCCATGGTTCCGCGCGGGCCCGGCACCCCTCGGCCGGGGCCGCTGTCCACCGTCCCCCAGAGGCGGGCGTACCTTTGAAGTAGTCGTTGGCCTGAGTCTTGAGCTCCTCTGCCCGCTTCAGAGCGCCATCAGCTGGGGGCTCGTCCCGGGGGGGCTCAGCACACTCAGTCCGCTCGCCCTCCGCCATCGCCATGCCGCAAAGCGACCCCCACCCTGGCAACGGCCGCCCGCGGCACCCGGCCGAACCGTCGCGAAGGAGGGCCGGGTGGCTGCAGCCGCTGTCGCACAAGTGTCGTAAAGCGCGGGCCTCTTCGCGCGCCTGCGCAGAGCCCTCTCGCTGGAGTGCGCGGGGACAAGGTGACCACAGGATCCCCAGACGACACCCGTTGTAGAATGAGCCAATAGGGAAGGAGAAAAAGGGCATGCGAGGAAAAGACCTGGTGTGGCCTCTGATCCCAAAGTTGCCGTGTTCCGAGGCCGCAAAAGTTTCTCGGGTCCTAAAGTCGGGGTTCCCCGCCTTCCTCTCCGGTTGGTGGGGGGTTGCAAATGCCGCCTGCTCTGCGAGGCAGCACCGTGCCGGCCGACGCGGACTCGGAGCTGGGCGTCCAGCCCCACTGCCAGTTGCCTGCGTGACCTTCAACAAATCTTCCCCTCCTCCAGGGCCTCAACGAACCCTCTCTGGAAAGTGGGTGACTTCTCAAACCAAATAAATTTCCAACCTTGAGGGTCAGTGTTTCTAAATTTTGAACTGAAGTCATCCTGGGTCCCCAAGTCCTGAGCAAGGCACGGAAGTTTGCTGTACATCTCCTTTCTCTTCCCTGTGTTCGGTTCCCAAATCCTGCTGAATCTTCAAATTGACTCATGTGCGTGTGTCTGCATTTTTTCTTCTCGCCTGGATCACACCATCAGCCTTCTCTGCTGCTTGATTCAGTCTCCCTCCTCCAGTTTACCCTCCATATGGCAGCTAGAGAGATCTAAGACAGGATAAGACCATGGCACACCCCCACCCCCAGCCTTCCATGGCTCCCTGGTGCCTTTAGGAGAACACCCACTCTTGATGACCTATGAAACCCTAAATAGTCTAGCCAGACCCTACCCCCTTCCCTCAACCCCCACACACTGTACACCCTTCTAGTCCACCCTTTCCAAGCCCTAAGCCTCTATGCACGAGGAACTGTAGCACTAAGTCCTTTAAGGCTCTATTGGGGCTCCCCTCCTGGCGGCACAAGCCATCCCATGCCTAAACCTCTTGTCCCGTCTATGTAACGCCACCTCAACCACCGCCTCCCTCCACCACCAACAATCCCCCTAGAAGGTAGCTATCAGTGTCATCTCCATTTCACTGATGAGGACACTGAGATTTGCAGAGGTCAATACACTTGCCAAAGGTCAAACTGCAAGGATGTGTCAGAGCCAGGATTTGAATTTGTCCCTGTCATCTTAATCGCTACTCTACTGCCTCTGTATATGCCAGAGGATTTGCAAATTTTTATTTTGTTTTTGTTTTTTACGGGGTGGGGAGGGTGCCATAATGGATTTGAATCCTGGATTTAAGTCCCCCTTAGTCCTTTCCTGGCTGTGTGACCTTGGGCAAGTGATCACCCTCTCTGAGCCTCAGTTTCAACATCTGTAAAGTGGGGATAATAACTTATGCTCATTATGTAGAATTATAATGTCAGGGGGCCTAACACAGAGTAAGTTCTTTTCATATTCACTCCATTACAAATACTCAAGAGTGGGGCAGAGTGCTTAGTGCTGTGATGCGGACAGGAGCTTTCAAAGGGTTGTGTGAAGACTTTGCCCAACTGGGGCAGATAAGGAAGGCTTCCTGGAAGAGAGGGTGTCTGAACCAAGATCTGAAGTAGGAGCAGGAGATAACCAAGTGAGGGGAGGAAGGAAAGGAGAACGGCATTTAAGGCAGAAGGAACAGCAAGTTCAAAGGCTTAAAAGTGGTTTTCTTCTCTTGAAAATATTCCTACGTGGACCAGCAGAGAGAGGTTATGAGGGTGATCGAAAGAGATGAGACAGAACAGACATGCCCACCTGCACGTGAATCTATGGACACACACTCTCTCTCCCACTCACATGCTCACGTAAGTACAGAGAATCATGGCACACAGACACACTTCGGTACCCAGAACCACAGTGTCAAACGGTCCCACACACATACGCAGAATCACAACGTCACACAGGCATACACAGGTGCCAAAGAATCACCACACCTCTCACACTCCAGAACACGACACCCAAAGTCACCAGAGAGATACAGAAGGCAAAATCATCTCACCCAGATACTAACACTCACACGTGGAAGGAATTACAACTCTCCAACTCAGGTTCACGGAATTGTCACAAAGACCTACGTGTGTACACAGAATGACCACATCATCAGACACACACGTGACACAGACCCCTGTAGGAAGACAGTCGCATACACACAGAATCAGAAAGTGTTAATAACGTGGACTCTCAGCTGCCCAGTGCGCCCACAGCCCCAGCAGCGATCCCAAAGATGAGTCAACACACAGAGCTCCGGTGCCCGCCAAGGTGAGGTCTTTATGGTGGTACAGAGATTAGTGAGTTTCAGAGCCAGCGTGGCTGGTCCGGTCCCCTCCTCTCCCCTAGCCCAGCACAGCTCCCTCCACTACGGACCCACATCACCCCCTGATGGAAGGAGGGGACAGACCCTAACTCCCTCCATCGCACCAATCTGGACGGGTCACCCCCTGACAAAACAGAGCTATCAGTCCCTTCCCAAAAGGGGATGAATGGAGCTGAGAAGGGGAGACCTTTTCCTGTGGAAGACGAAGAGTAGCACCATTATAGAAAGGGAGGTAAGAGGGACACGTAGGTGGTGGCAGAGAGCTGAGGGGTCCGGGCCTCTCTCCCCACCCTGTGATTTGCAGATAGGGCTGTGCGTGTGCCAGTGCGGCTGGAAGAGTCTTCTGGATTGTGAACCCCCATGGGGGTGAGGGAGCCCCAGGTCTCCCAGACATCTGGGGTGGAGTCAAGGTAAGTGCACATCTGGAGAGCTGGGGTGGGCAGTGGAGGGGTTTCTAAGACAGGAACTACAGGGACATGAGGTTGGAGAGGCTTGATCAAGAAGTCCTGGAAGGTAGGAGTCTGGAAGACTTAGGACAGGGTAGGAATTGGGGTATTTTCAGTGGGGTGGGAAGCCCAGAATAGAGTTAGGCGGGTGGGGTCTGCAGTCAGGGACTCAGAGGTTGCAAGATTCAGAACCAGAGGAATCTGCAAGGTAAAGTCTAGATTTCAGAATCAGAAGCATTTGAAAGCCAGGTTCTAGAACCAGAGGGATTTGGATCTGAAATCAGAGGAACCTGATTAGACGCTGTGAGGCCTAGAAGCAGAGGAATTTATAGAGTGAAGACTAGAATTAGAAAAAGCCCAAAGGATGAGTTCTAGAACCAGAGAGATTTTGGTACCATAAGCTCTAGAATCAGAAGGAATTGGAGGGAGGTTGTAACGTCTAGAACCAGAGGAATTTATAAGGCAAGGTCTAAAATAAGATGTTTGATGGCTGAGTTCCAGACCCAAGGTCATTTAGAATCCTACGATCTACAGTGAAGGGAAGTTGGACACTGTGAGTTCTAGAACCATGGGGACTTACAGGATGAGATCTAGACTCAGAAGACATTTGCAATTCAGTTCTAGAACCAGAAAAATGGTAGAAAATCAGATCTGGAATCAGAAGATCCAGGAGGTCACAAAGTCTAGAGGTTGTGCAGTCTACAGTGAATGGTGGAGGCCATAGAACTGGTTATAAGATCAAGACATAAAACTCATTTGACTTCTTCTTGACAGGGAAAACAAGTCATGATTGTAGAGAGTCGAAGAGGAATGAGCTGGGACTCATGAGGTCTGGAACCAAAATGATTTAGAACTTAAGAGGTCTGGATTTGGAACCAAATGTACCATATTATAGATTGAGAAGATTAGACCCAACAGGAAGCTTGAAGTTGTGGTGTCCCAGAACCAGAGGAAATCATTGAATATAAGATCTGGAACCAGACGGAGTTGAAGGGAGTGAGATCTAGAACAAGAGGGATTTATGGGAGAAGTCTAGAACCAGAGGAAGCTAAGAGAATGCATTCTAGAACCACTGGAATCTGGTGGTCATAGATTCTAGAGCCAGAGGGAGTTAGAGGTTGTACAGGCCAGAACCAGACAATTCTTTGGAGATTGTTGAGGTTGGAAAATAGACAGAATTGGAGGTTGTGAGGTCCAGAATTAGATTTTCAGGATAAGGTCTAAAGCAGACCAGGTTGGAGGTTGTGCAGTCTACAACCAGTGAAGGTTGGAGGTTGTGCAGTCTAGAACCAGAGAAGGTTGGAGGGTGTATGGTTTGAAAGCAGAGGAGGTTCGAGGCTGCCCCTGAAATAGGAAGACCGTGGATGAAGTCCGTGTCCAGGTGGAGCTGGGGGCAGCAGGAAGTCCAGAGTGGAAGGGGAAGACAGAGCTGGGTGGCAGCTTGGGAGGCTGAGGTCGCTGGGGGTGAGGTCTGGCCCAGAGCCTCCCCCAGTGACGCCTGAGGATGGGGCGAGATCAGAGTCCCACATTCTTATGGACCCCAAACAATTCATAGTGATTCAAAACCATATCATGAAATCAATAAAAATAAAAATAATAATAAAAGAGGGATAGACAGAGATGTGGTTACGGTTATCCATCCTCCCCAGAGCCCCAAATCACAGATCTGATCCCCAACCCTCCCCCCCCATTCCCCAAAATAAAGCCAAGAGAGTCTGAGAAAGGGATAATGAGGTAACGAAGTACTGAGAACCCCAAGCGAAGTCCTGAGAGGAAGAGGAGGAGGGGCCAGGACCCCCTCCCAGAGGTCACTGAGCTGATGCCCCAAAGAGCCCCCAGATTGGGAGCGGGCAGAGGGGGGAGGGTTGAGGTAGGCCCGAGGTGGGCGGGGGGCACTCGGAGAAGAGAGGGGCCCCTCTCCTGGCACCCCCGTCCTGTGTGTTGGCTGCCAGCTTGGAGTGTGGTTGAGGTCCTTGCTGGGGAAGGAGAAGGGACAAGGGAAGGGGGCTGGCTCAGTGGGCCTGGGCCACGCCTGCCGCCGGCTGGAAGTGGCTCCTGGGCTGGGCAGTGTCCTGGTCCGGATAGAGAGAGAGCAGCGAGGGGCCCAGGCCTGTGGGGGAAGATGGAAGATCAATCAGTGGAGAATTATCACTCCAACCTGTCTTCCCTTCCTGGGAGTGAAAACCCCGGGTGGTGAGGCAGGCCTGCCTCAGTTTATACAGCAGTGGAATCTTGGGCACGTTCTGCTCTCTAAACACCTCTGCATGTTTAGGGTTGGGGTTAAGAACCCAAGTCCGGAGCCACACGCTGCTCTAGTTTGACTCTGCGTGTTGCTATTTCCTTGCTGTGTGCCCTGAGGCAGGTGGCTTTACCTCTCTGTGCCTCAGTCCCCTCATCTGTAAAATGGGCTAATAACAGTACCTCCCTCCCAGGACTGCTGTGAGGACTAAATGAGTAAATCCGAGTGAAGTGCTTTAAGCAATCACTGGTACTGGTGAGCGCTCAGTGAGTCAGCTGTTGGCGCTTGGGAAATGGGGACTTCCTGCCCACCTCATTATGAGAATATGCTCCTGCAAAATACATTTATTGAGCACCTACTATGTGCCGGGCACTGGGCTAGGTGCTGGAGACACAGCAGTGAACAGGACAGATGAAACTCCCTGCCCTCGTGGGGCTGACATTCCACAGTGGGACATAAAGGATTTTGCACAAAGCTGGGCACAGAGGGAGTGCTTGAATGTTCTGAGACCTTCTCTGTGCCCAGCCGCATGCATGAAGTAGAGTGCAGCAGTGGCCAAGGCAGCCCTGGCCCCTGCGCTCACAGTCTCATACCCATCGGGAGAAGACAGCCAGTAATCACATAATGACACAAACACCTACGTCACTATAACTATGGACTGACGGGCATTAGAAGCTGTGAGCTTCGGAAGCAAGGCAGGACTTCATGAAAGGAGTAACATTTGTTCTGAGAGCTAAACAATGTGGTAATTAGGCAAAGAATAGAGGGAAAAGCATTCCAGGCAAAGGGATCAGGATATGCAAAGGCCCTGAGGCAGCCTGCTCAAGCAAGGCAACTTTAAAGGCAGCTCAATGCCCCATACAATCCTTCTGCCTCAGTCTCCCAAGTAGCTGGGACTACAGGCATGCACCACCATGCCCAGCTAATTTGTTCTATATATATCTTTAGTTGTCCACCTAATTTCTTTCTATTTTTTTAGTAGAGACGGCGTCTCGGTCTTGCTCAGGCTGGTCTCGAACTCCTGAGCTCAAGTGATCCGCCTGTCTCGGCCTCCCAGAGTGCTAGGATTACAGTCGTGAGCCACTGCACCCGGCCAAGGGCGGACGTTTCTTGAGTGCTTATGCCATAGCAGATCTTGGACTGAGCCCTTCCGGTGTGGCATCTCCATGAGTCGCTCAGAACATCTCCTTAAGGTAAGAACTGTCACGATAGTTCCCCATCCACGGGGGACCCAGGGCTTCTGGACACCCAGCTGGGATACTCACCCAGGGGCTCAATCGCATCCGGGAGGTGGGTGGCGGGAGGGTGCTGGCTCCCCGTGGCCGGGCCTCCTGTCAGAAGGAAACTCTGTGGGGAGAGACAGAGCCACCGCCATCGTCACCATCACCATCCTCATCCTCATCAATATCCAAGGAGGCAGGATGGTGCAGTGGTTAACGTCCTTGTTGGGGTCCAGCAGCCACCTGTCAGTGCCCCAGACGTCCTTCTTGTGTTCCCCTAGGGCCTTGTCCCCACTTCTTCCCTTTCTTCTGCGCCCCAGGAGGTTGGCTTGTGCACGGGGGACTACAACACCACGCGACCTTGCTCTGTGTGCTCCTGTTGGGTTCAGCTCGTGGGAGGCCCAAGAGGGGTGTTTATTCTTCTAGCTGTTTCCCTGTTGGGTCACTGTGACTTGGCTGTGTCCCTCCAGGGAAGGTTTCAGCCCTTATCAAATGAACCCCACTGGCTCCAGGATCTGGTGGCCACCCCTGGCCTGTACCTTCAGGCTAGGGCTAGTGCCGGCTTCCCCTGCTGCCAGCCCCGGGGTGCTGCACCGGCTGCTTAACCTCTCGTATGTAAATGTATATAATAATAACAACAACAACAACAATATTTCCAAGAGTAGTTGTGAGGGTTAAATAAATTAATCATGCAAGGCACTTAGTGCAGTCAGCATCTGGCAAATAATAGGCACTCAATGCACGGAAGCTGTTGATACTGCCAACCTCATCCCTCATGTTACAATAGCCCTTTGCAGAGTGAGGAGCCAGGGTACTTCTGTGGGTACTAGGGAGCCATGGGAGGTCCTAGAGGGAGGCCTTGTGGAAGTGACAGAGCCCAGGCTGGCTTTTAGAAAGTGTGTTCTGGTTGCTGTTGTGCAGAATGGACAGGAGGGGTGAGACTGAAGGCAGGGACACTGGCAGGGGTTGCTGCTTTTGTTTGGTTTGTTTTTGTACTCCATTTATGGGCAGCCTACTGAGTGTCAGCTAAGGGCCTCGTATCATTTAATCCTCATGGCAGGCCTGTGAGATAGTAACTATTCCCACTTTCTAGATGAGGAAACTGAGGCTCAGAGTGGTGATGTCCCCTGCCCAAAGTCTCACAGTTACTAGAAGGCAGACCTGGGATTCGAACCCAAGTCCGTCTGATTCTAGTGTCTGTACTCTTTATTCTGCACCCGTCATCCAAGGCCAAGACCTACCTGTTCTAGTTTGGGGTGAGGGTCCCATGGGAGCAAAGAAGATTCCTGCAGATACTAGCCACCTGCCATTTCTCCCCTCGCCCTACTTAACTTTTTTTCTTTGCACCTTCCGCCAACTTACACGCATTTGCAAAGCCCTTTCACACCCCTCAGTGAAACTAGAAGATCAAAGTCCTAGTCTCAGCGGGCCCATGCCCTTCTGTGAGACCTGCAGCCAGCCCTGCTCCTTTTTGGTTTCCCATTTATAAACGAGGAGGTTTAAGCCTGCTGGGTTCTGAGGGCCAGAGGATCCCATTAATGCCCCAACATACCAGGCTGAGGGGAAACAGCAGAAGGTTTTCCGGGTCTGGGCTGGGGGGTCGTTTGGGGGGTGTGACTCCCAGCAGCTCCACTCCTTCGGCCTCGTCCTCTGAGCTCTGGCTCAGGGCCCTGGAAGAAAACAGGCAGGAATCTCAGGAGGCAACAAACCTGGGCAGGTGTGGCCCCAGCGTAAGCACTAATGTGCGATCGTTCACTCCCCCAAGCACCTACTCGTTCCTTTACTGACACACCCCCAATCCGTCTTCCCATCTGTCTATCCAATGATCCCTCACCCACCCACCCAACCACCCCATCTTCCATCCATCCTTCCTTTCATCCATACACCTCTCTGACCATGCATCCCCTCACCATCTAACCATCCATCTGCCTAGTCATTCATTCTCCCATCCATACACCCATAAATCTTTCCACTCATCCAACTGACCATCCATCACCCACCCCTACAACCTCCATCCATCCATCCTTCCATTCATCCACCTGTCTATCCACCCTCTCGCCATCCATCCATCCATCCATCCATCCATCCATCCATCCATCCATCTTTCCATCCACCTAGCCACTATATTCATTAATAATTCCCTCCCTCCTTCATTTAATAAGTCTTTATCAGGCACCCACTGTATACCCAGCCCCAAGCTAGGAGCTTTGGAAGATACCAAGATGTATCTGTAAATTCCTCCTAAAGACAGTAAAAGACCATTCTGGATACTAAGTGGCCACATGCGTGCAACCTAGAGAGCAAAAACTTGAGTATTAGTAATCTAACGCCTTTGGAAGGGGGGCATAGACCCTCCAAAATTATATGCAAAATTGTGTGTGTAAATTTGCTTGGAAAAGAGTCCATAGATTTCATCAGATTCTCAAAGGTGTGAAAAGACTTAGTTCTAGATAGCTTCCCTGACATTGTGGCCATGTCTTTCTAGCTGTGATGTAAATTGTCACTAGGCCAGATGTAAGTACGTTCCCCAGGAGAGAGCCCTGGCTGACAGGTGGGATTTGGATGAACCTTGAGAACAGTCGAGGGGACTTGAGAAAGGGGCACAACATGGGCAAAGGCATAGAAGCTAGGACAGACTTGGCACATGCTGGGGACACTGAGGGCCTGGCTAGAGTGGAGATCAGGGTGGCAGGAAAGGAGAGGGATGAGGCTGATGCAGAGGCAGGGACAAGACTGGGGAAAGGGACCTTCCCTGCACTCCTGTGACATCCCCCCTTCACTGTGGCTCACCTCTTCCGAGCCCCAGCCACAGGGGAGGATGCTGAGGGGTCCCCCCTGGAAGGGCTGGAGCAGCTCAGCCAGGGGTCACTCCCCCAGCGGGGCAGCAGGGAGGGCTCAGGGGTTGGGGGAGGCAGGCCGTGGAAGCTCCGAGCGCGGGGCCGGGGGACAAGCCCGGGAGGTCTGTGGCAGGCCCTGGGTAGCTGCTCGCTGGAGTTGAGCTGGAAGTCATCATCCATGGAGATGTAGGGGGCCAGCATCTCCAAATCCAGAGCATCGGCGTCCTGAGGGGGGCAGGAGGGAGTCAAGAGCATGAGCCTTGGGCGCGGGTGGACCTGGGCTGGAGCCCCAACTCCACCACTCCTGCATTGCATGCTTGAGGCCAAGAGTCTGAGTTCCAGCTTCCCTATCTGTAAAATGGGTATAAGGACTCTTTGAAGAGCACGTTAAAGAAATCTTAAATTGCCTTGAACAAACTATTGATCAACATCTGAACCTTGAAGAGGCTGCCAATGAGGGCTTAGAAGGAAGGGAGTAACGTGTTACAGGAAACCAGAGGAAAGGGGACTGTCGTGTAGTGCCTGGAAAGTTTAGCAACACCAGTGCCTGCTAACGAATGAACTGGGGGGGATCCTGCTAAGGAGATTTCCAGCCAGAATGCTGAAGGAGCTGCCTCATCTCTTCTTACTACTCATAGTAAAAGGCAAGAGAAAAAGGAAATTTCTTCTTTTTTTTTTTTTTTTTTTTGAGACAGAGTCTCGCTTTGTTGCCCAGGCTAGAGTGAGTGCCGTGGCATCAGCCTAGCTCACAGCAACCTCAATCTCCTGGGCTCGAGCGATCCTTCTGCCTCAGCCTCCCAAGTAGCTGGGACTACAGGCATGTGCCACCATGCCCGGCTAATTTTTTATATATATATCAGTTGGCCAATTAATTTCTTTGTATTTATAGTAGAGACAGGGTCTCGCTCTTGCTCAGGCTGGTTTTGAACTCCTGACCTTGAGCAATCCGCCCGCCTCAGCCTCCCAAGAGCTAGGATTACAGGCGTAGGAAATTTCTTCTTAAAGGAAGAAATGTTAAATATGAAGGATCTGGGGCTTGAAGGTTTTGAAAATCCTCAACCTTCCTATGTAGTGAAGAATTCACTTTACCCAAAGAGAGGTCTGGCCTCTGTCCCAGCCCCTAGGAGTAACCTCTAAACCCTTAGAATTTCCTGAGTGACAGCAGTGTCTTTGCTGTCCCCTGTGAGTCCCTTGGACCACACCTGATAGTTTATGCTAACAAAGTGACTCATGGGAGGCCCCCAGATAGTTTATGCTAATGAGATAACTCAGGATGGGGGCTGGCCATGCCAGACCATGCGATTAGAGGGCTGTGGCTTTGGGCCACGTGAAACCAGCCTGACCTCCAGGGAAGGTAGGGATGGCACTGAAATTGAATTCAGTTACGTGGACAGTAACACAATCGATCATGCTGATGTAATGACACCTCAATAAAAACTCTGGACACCGAAGCTTGGATGAAGCTCCCTGGGTTGGCAATACTCTATGCACACATTGCCATGTTTCAACACTGGGACTGTTTAACTAGAACTCCTGACTAAAAAGAAAAGAAACAAAATTTTTAAAAATAAATAAATAAATAAAAATTGGAAAAAAAAAACATTTTTGCAAGTTATTGCAGCAAAAAAAAAAAAAAAACAAAAACATTTTTGCAAGTTATTGCAGCAGAAAAACACTGGGACTGTAACATGTCCCTGAGGACATGCAAGCTTTCCATTTGGGACCCTCCTAGTCCCAGAAATTCCGTCCTATGCATATCTCCCTTTGGCTGGTTCTGATTTGTATTCTTTTGCTATAATAAAACAAAAATCCTAAGTATAGTGCTCTCCTGGGTACTATGAATACTTCTAGTGAATTCTCAAACAAGAGGGAGTCTGTGGGAATCTCCTAATTGATGGGACCCCGGTCTGAAGTGCGGGTGGCTCTGGAGAACCCCAAACTTGCAGCAATGTCAGAAGGCTCGGGCAGACTTGGCAGTCTAGAGAGTGTGTCGTTGACCTTGAATTTGGCTGACTGTAGGAACTCTCCAGATGGCAGCGGATGCTAAAATTAAGAAATGGTTTCTGAGCAAAGAAAGGCCCTCCCAGGAAAGCATGGGCTGCAGACAAGCTCAGGGTGGGACTTAACTCCCTGTTCAGGCTCCAGAAAGATGCAAGGTGGTGCCTCAGCCTGTCCTTTGGTCAGACAAAAGACTCTTTAGAGTTTAAAGGTAACCCTCATAGATCTTCTCAATCAAATAACAGAGCTTCTACTGAACTAACTTAAGGGCACTATCACTTAGCATCTCAGCAGAAGCTGAGTAGAGGTGGAGGAGGGCTTACCTTGAAGCAATTTTTGGCTGTGGCTTTTGTCTAGTGGAGCTGACTCCAAAGGAATTCACGTAAGACCCACAAAGTTGTTTGAGACAGGGTCTTGCTCTGTCGCCTGCCTAGAGTGTAGTGGTGTCATCACAGCTCACTGCAGCCTCCAACTCCTGGGCTCAATTGATCCTCCTGCCTCAGCCTCCCAAGTAGCTGGGACTACAGGTACATGCCACCATGCCCAGCTAATTAAGACCCACAAAGTGTTTTTTTTTTTGAGACAGAGTCTCGCTTTGTTGCCCAGGCTAGAGTGAGTGCCGTGGCATCAGCCTAGCTCACAGCAACCTCAGACTCCTGGGCTCAAGCAATCCTGCTGCCTCAGCCTCCCAAGTAGGTGGGACTACAGGCATACGCCACCATGCCCGGCTAATTTTTTCTATATATATTAGTTGGCCAATTAATTTCTTTCTATTTATAGTAGAGACGGGGTCTCGCTCTTTCTCAGGCTGGTTTCGAACTCCTGACCTCAAGCAATCCACCCACCTCGACCTCCCAGAGTGTTAGGATTACAGGCGTGAGCCAAAGACCCACAAAGTTTTAAAAAGAGAATTATATGAATGGAAACATCACCAGCCTGGACTGGAAGGGATAGAGACAGTATAAAATGAACAAAGGCCTTTGGATCACCAAAGTTCTAGAAGGAGGAAGCAAGTTGAGAAGACCACTCAGCTACAAATACATGTTACCTTTTATGAAAGAGGAGGGATGACTCAGAGCAAGCAGCCAAGAGCCTAGAGGGTGGCACTAAGAGCCACGGAGGAAAAGAAAAACTCCTGGGAAGTAGTACGAATAAATCCTAATCAAGGAACTTTCCATATTTGCCCAGACGGATTTCAAAACTGTTATGGACCAGAGACACATGTGTGCTGCCTCTTTCACCTCCCCCCCTCACTTTTTTTTTTTCATTTTTTTTCCAGGCCTCCTCTTCTTGGTAACTTTCACCCCTTTTTGAATAGGAGTGGCTATGGCAGTTACCCTATGCCTGCCCCACCACTCTACGCTGGGGGTGTGCATGGCAGATGACTCATCTCTTTGGTCCACAGGCCAACAGATGGAGAGGAAGTGCACTCAAAGAGCTTCACCCATACCCAGACCAGATTTAGATAATAAGATTCTGGACTTATGCTTGGTTTTCCCTTCCCCCCCCCCAAAATATCCTGGACTTCATTAGAAGAGACTTTTGGGGGCCTTGGGAGGGGCTGACTATATTTTGCATAGGGAGAGACATGAATCACTGGAGGTCCCCAATGAGCCCTGCCTTTTGGCGTTCACACTCTTGTGTAGCTGCTTCCCACACTGTACTGGGGTTGTATGACCAGCACAATATGGCAGCAGGGATGGTCATCACTTCTTTTTTTTTTTTTTTTGAGACAGAGTCTCACTTTGTTGCCCGGAGGAATGGAGTGCCGTGGCATCAGCCTAGCTCACAGCAACCTCCAAACTCCTGGGCTCAAGCGATCCTCCTGCCTCAGCCTCCCGAGTAGCTGGGACTACAGGCATGCGCCACCATGCCGCTAATTTTTTTATATATATGTTTTATTGGCAATTAATTTCTTTCTAGTTTATAGTAGAGGATGGGGGGTCCGCTCTTGTTCAGGCTGGTTTCGAAACTTCCTGACCTCAAGCAATCGCCCGCCTCAGCCTCCCAGAGAGCTAGGATTACAGGCGTGAGCCACCGCGCCCGGCCTGGTCATCACTTCTGAGAACAGGCTATGCAAGACTGTATCTTCCATCTCAGGCTCTCTCTTGCCATCTTTTTGCCTTCCTGCCTGTCTCTCTCTGTCTCTCTGTCTCTCTCTCTCTCTTTGCTGGATTGCTTGCCTTGGAGGAAGCCAAGTGCCATGCTGTGAAGACACTTAGGGCAGCCTGTGTAGAGGCTCATGTATGACGAACTGAGGTCTCCAGCCAAAGCCAGTGGGGGACTGAGGACTGCCAACAATCTCATGTGTGAGAGCTTAGAAGCATCTAGCCCCAGATGACTGCAGCCCTGGCTGAGAGCTTGACTCCAATCTTACGAGAGACCCTGAGCAAAAACCACCAGCTAAGCAGCTCCAAGATTCCTTATACTCAGTAACCATGTGACATAGCTGTTAGTTTTTTTTGTTTTGTTTTTTTTTTGAGACAGAATCTCGCTTTGTTGCCCAGGCTAGAGTGAGTGCCATGGCGTCAGCCTAGCTCACAGCAACCTCACACTCCTGAGCTCAAGCAATCCTCCTGCTTCAGCCTCCCAAGTAGCTGGGACTACAGGCATGCACCACCATGCTCGGCTAGTTTTTTCTATATATATTAGTTGGCCAATTAATTTTTTTCTATTTATAGTAGAGACGGGGTCTCGCTCTTGCTCAGGCTGGTTTCGAACTCCTGACCTCGAGCAATCCGCCCGCCTCGGCCTCCCAGAGTGCTGGGATTACAAGCGTGAGCCACCTCGCCCGGCCTGTTAGTTGTTTTAAGGTACTAGGTTTTTAGGTAAGTTGTTATGTAGCAGTACGTAACTAATCAATCCATCATGTCATTTATGTAATTTTATTTATCTACCTGTCATCTTATCTATGCATTCAATCAATCATTCATCTAAATATCTTTATCTATTTTTTATCCAGCCAATGAACCAGTGGTCCATCTACCCATCCAAACATCCATCCATCCATCCATTTATCCATCCAAATATCTGCCTAAACATCACCCACCATCATTCAACCAATGAATACAAGGGTCCCTTCATCCACGCATCCATCCACCCACCCACTCATCTCTTTAGCCGTTGCACCACCCGTCTCAAAAGCCCAGATGTGTCAGCCCCCAGAGCACAGAGGCTAAGACTGCTCCTTCCATGCCAGCCCTTACCTGAGCCATGTCTAGATCCGTCTCCACTGCCTCGGGGTCTTTCCCGGATGCCAAGAGTCTGTGTGCACTGTCCATGCCCACGAGTAGTTCATCTGGGAGATCAGCCTGCGGGGACAGGGAGCAGGGGCTTCAGGAAATCTTAACCTTGGGATGCATCGACAGTAAATAGTCTGGACCTCAGGGGTGGAAGCGGGGTTCAAATGTCAGGCAGCTGGGGGAACAAGGGGGTCCCACAGCCAGTGAAAATGAGTTCTGAACCTGGGTGTTCAAAAGTCAGAGTGGCCGGGTACATGCAGGTCAACGGGGCAAACAGCGAAGGTTAGAAGGATCAGAGTCCAAAGCCAAGACATTCAGGTCGCCTGGATTAAACATCTTGGGGTCTGAGTTTTAGGGGGAAACAATGCAGAGTCCAGCTGTCTCAGGGGTAAAGGGTGAGGTCACAGTGTGTATTTCTCTGGTGGAGAGAAGATGTTTTCTTGGGGTGGAGAGTGGGATGAAGACAGGCAACACCAGATGCTGGGGAACCTACAGACCTCTAGGTCCCCAAGTGCAGCCCCTTGACTCCATCCAAATTTTACAGAACAAATCCTTTTAATAAAGGCCGCACTCAAGGATCCAGATTAGGGTCTACTGAGCACCTGCTAGGTGCCAGGCCCCTACTAGGTGCTTCCCACAAATAATCTCATTGAACCCTCACAACAACCAATGACGCGGCCACTTGTCATTATCATCCTTTTATAGGTGAAGAATTTTTTTGTTTGTTTGTTTTTTGTTTTTTGTTTTTTTTTTGAGACAGAGTCTCGCTTGTTGCCCAGGCTAGAGTGAGTGCCGTGGCGTCAGCCTAGCTCACAGCAACCTCAAACCCCTGGGCTCAAGCAATCCTACTGCCTCAGCCTCCCGAGTAGCTGGGACTACAGGCACGTGTCACCATGCCCGGCTAATTTTATATATATATATTAGTTGGCCAATTAATTTCTTTCTATTTTTATAGTAGAGACAGGGTCTTGTTCAGGCTGGTTTTGAACTCCTGACCTTGAGCAATCCGCCCGCCTCGGCCTCCCAGAGTGCTAGGATTACAAGCGTGAGCCACCACGCCCAGCCTATAGGTGAAGAATTTAAGGCCTCCAGCCCCCACTCACCCAGGGTAACACAGCTGGTAACAAGATCTGAACCCAGCTTTGCGTAAATCAAGATATTAGACATTCTAGACTCTATGAGGTCAAAGTTCAGAGAGCCTGGACACTGGGTTGCAGGCTTGGGGGTGCAGTCACAGTTCGGAACCTCCCAGGTTGGGGGCCAGACTCTGGAATTCTAATAATTGAAGACCCTGGAATCCGGGTCTTTTTTTTTTTTTTTTTTTTTTTGAGACAGTCTCGCTTTGTTGCCCAGGCGAGAGTGAGTACCGTGGCGTCAGCCTAGCTCACAGCAACCTCCAACTCCTGGGCTCAAGCGATCCTCCTGCCTCAGCCTCCCGAGTAGCTGGGACTACAGGCATGCGCCACCATGCCCAGCTAATTTTTTCTATATATATTAGTTGGCCAATTACTTTCTATTTATTTATAGTAGAGACAGGGTCTCGCTCTTGCTCAGGCTGGTCTCGAACTCCTGACCTTGAGTGATCCTCCTGCCTCGGCCTCCCAGAGTGCTAGGATTACAGGCGTGAGCCACCGCGCCCAGCCGGAATCTGGGTCTTAAAGGAACCTCACCCCCTTCTCATCCCAACGTCCCCCCTACACAGGTGGAGAACCCGAAGCCCAGAGGACAGCAAGGTTTGAGCCAAAGGCCAAGGCAGCCGGGGTCCCCAGGGCTCAGGTGGGGGCAGGTGGGGGCTCACCGGGAGAGGGCTCTGGGGGCGCCACGTGGCCGGCGGTGTGCTGGGGGTGGCGGCTGCCGAAGCCCCGTCCAGGATGGGCGCCAGGAGGCGACGAAGGTCGGGGCTGCAAAATCGACGGGGGTCGGCAGCCAAGGCGGCCTCGCTCAGGGCCGGCGGGTGCAGGAAGGCAAGGATCCGGGGACCAGGGGTGCCTGCAGGACACGTGGAGGTGGGGAGGACATGGCAGCCATGTCAAGGGTCTGCCAAGGGTCAGAGCCCTCCATGCCAACCCCAGGGAACACGGCTGACATCTTAGCTAGTCACCATGGCCACCGTTCCTAGTGCTGGGCAGAAGGGGCCCGTGGAAGCCCTGCTGGGCCGGGCCAGGTTGTGGAGAGGCCTGAGGGTTCCAGGGTAGAGGCCTGGGGCCCCGGAACACCATTCGGCCACTCAGCTCTGGGGAGCTTGCCTTCAAGGAGGTTCTGAAGTCCCCAGAGAGCAAGACATGGCTCAGAGCCAGCTCTGAGGCCGAAAAGGAGAGGATACAGACAGCTGTGCCCCAAGAACAAGCAGGTTGGGAGGGCCATCCAGCACGTGGGGTGCAGAGAAGGAAGAGGGAGGAAGGAGCCAGACTTGGGAGGGTCGCAATTACTGGACGCCAAACAGCAGTGAAGCGGGAACAAGGAGGAAGCTGAAGGGTGGGAGTGGGGGAGCCGCAGGACCCAGAGCAGAGGGTGACATGAGACTGGAGCAATCAGCCCATGGGCACAGGAGAGGAGGAAGGACAAAGAGAGAATCTGCATGTGCAAAGGCCCTGAGGCATGAAGGAAATCAACATGTCCATGAGCTCTGAGGAAGCCATATGGTTTGGAGGGGGAGGGATAGGGGAGGAAGGAGGCAGGTGCCACAGGGCCTGGTGAGCCACGCTAAGGCACTTGGGCTTCCTTCCAAGGGTCCTGGGGGCACAACCCCTCCCAGCCTCAGCCCTGCTCCATACCAAGGCTGTCCCCAAAGTTAGGGGCATCCTTCTGAGAGGGGGCGCCCCACTGAAGGTGTCTGCGAGAGTGCCACTCCGTCTGCTCCAGGGACAGCACCACTCCGGTCTCTTCCACCCGGCTAGGCAGAAAGGGGGACGGGAGTCAGGGAGGGTCCTTGGTCCCAGCCCAGGTAGCCTTTTCAGATGGTGTCCTATTATAGGAGGCAATGTTGTCCTGGGGCTGGAGGACAGTTTGCAGAAGATAATTTCTCATGTTTATTTGTTTCTTATAAAGATTTGATTTTTGTTGACTGGTTTTTTTTTTTATTATAACAGCATTTTTTTTTCCTTTGAGACAGTCTTGCTCTGTCACCCGGGCTGGAGTGCAATGTCATCATCATAGCTCACAGCAAACCTCAAACTCCTAGGCTCAAGGAATCCTCCTGCCTTAGCCTCTGAGTGGCTGGGACTACAGGCACGCGCCACCACAACTGGCTAGTTTTTCTATTTTTAGTAGAGACAGGCTCTTCTCGCTCTTGCTCAGGCTGGTCTTGAACTCTTGAACTCAAGAGATGCCCTCCTGCCCTCGGCCTCCCAGAGTGCTAGGATTACAGGCGTGAGCCACCATGCCTATAACAGCATTTTAAAAAGAAAGTTAAGTTTGTCCCCTTCCCAAGCTCCCTCTATAGAAGGAAAGACAGAAAAAAAAAAAAAAGCTGACACGTGGCAGAGACTGGGTAGAGAAAAGGGAGACCAGGGGGTGGGGGTGGGGGAGTGAGAGTCAGAGGGGGGACACCCAGGACCAGAGGGTGGGCAGCGAAGGGCTGAAGAACAAAACAGTCTCTTTATAGATATTTACTTATAAACAGATGCTTATACATGTATTGATAAAAGGTATATTTTTAACAAGTTCCTTATTACATTACCAAATATGAAGAATTCATGGGGCTCTATTTTTATGAATAAGGTTTTATTTATGACGTTTCTATTCATAGATGTTTTTCATATTCAAGGGAACAGATTTATAAATACATCCTTCATATGTCCCTGCACCGCCCGTCACGCAGTCTCTGGCTGCGGAGAGACGATCCAAGTGCTGGCTGGGCGAACTGGCCTTTGGCGGGTCGGGCTGGCCGAGGACCGGGCCCTCGTGATTTGCATCTCATCTGCATAACCCCCCACAGGTGTGTTCCTGGTCTTCCTACCTGGTCTTCCCACCGGCTCTTTGAGAAGCTAGGACCCCTTTGCATCCTCACTAAACCCTTCCTGGCCTGGAAACATCCCAACTCAGGCTGGACCAAAGCCACCCTTATCCCCCTGAACAGCAGAAGCACACACACTCGCACGTGTACACGCAGTGGCACACAGAGGAACACTTATATACGCCCAGGGTGCACACGGGGGCAGGTGTGATCACTGGCATCACACATTCGGGCTCACATATGTATATGCTCACATATATGCACATATACGCCACATGGAGTTCGATCATTTGTTCATTCCACAAGCACCTCCTAATCAAGCAGTACTGCCTGGGGGTAAGAGCAAGAACTCTGCAGCCAGCGATCTGGGTTCAAAGCCCAGCTCTGCCGCTTAGGAGCTGTGTGACCTTGAACGTGAAAAATCAAATGTATTATTAAAATGAATCTCACCTGCTTCTGTTTGCCTCTTTAACTAGGAAATTCAAGATGGCATATGTGACTGGCATCACACTTTCACAGGACAGCACTGGGTTAAATAGTTATAAGTACTAGGGGGGGTTGCGATTTTGAAAAGGGCAGTCAAAGAAAGCCCAGCGAGCAGGGTGTGGCAGTGCACACCTGTAATCTTAGCTACCTGGGAGGCTGAGACGGAAGGATTGCCTGAGCCCAGGAGTTCAAGATGGCATTGAGCTGTGACCGCAGCACTGCACACTCTAGCCTGGGTGACAGAGTGAGACTTTGTCTCAAAAAAAAAAGAAGTAGTGGCTACTGGGGAGAGACCTGGTGTGGGGACCCAGGGTCTGCAGGGAGTGATGTCTGAGCTGAGACTGGAAGGATGACGGGGGCATGACTCAGCAGAAAGGGGAGGAGGGAAAAGAGCAGAGCATGCTGGGCAGGGGGAACTGCATGTGCAAAGGCCCTGAGGTCTGGAGAGTGAGTGAGAAGGGAAGAGAGGCAGGAGTCCCACAGGGCCTGGAGACCCATGCTAAGGCACTTGGGCTTTCTCTTAAGGGTACTGGGAAGCCGCAGAAGGGCACTCTGGGCTGCTTGGAGACACGAGACATAAATTGATTTGCATTTCAGAACACTTCCCAGATCAGAACTTGACACCATGTCCTGTAAGATCACCTTCGAAGAAAAGCTATATTTCTAACTCTGTCTTGTGTAATAAATGTGCTGCCCCCATCATAATGTTGTCATTGATACCCCAGCATTCCTAAATGGTAAAAAAACTCTAAGATGCATGATGATTTCACCACTATACACCTATTAGAGTGACTAAAATTAAAACCAAGCCAAAAAAAAAAACACCCATCCAATACAAAATACTGTCAAGGATGTGGAGCAAGTAGAATTCTCATACACAGCTGTATGGATGAGAATGCATGTATGGGAATGCAAAATGGTACAGCCACTTTGGGAAACAGTCTGGCAGTTTCTTAAGAAGTCAAATAGACACTTACCCTATAACCCATGCATTCCACTCCTAGGTGGTTAGCCAGGAGAAATGAAAACGTGTCGTCTCACAAAATCTTGTATGAGAATGTTTACAGTAGCTGTTTTTATAATCACCCAAAATAGGAAACAGCCCAAAGTCCTCCAACTGGTGAATGGATAAACAAACTGGGGTCCATTCGTACCATGGAATAGCACTCACCATTACAAAGGGACCATTGATACCAAGCACAACATGGATGAATTTTAAATAACGTCATGCTAAGAAGCCCAACCCAAAGGCTGCATACTGTATGAGTTCCTGTATGTGACATTCTGGACAAGGCAAACCCTAGGGTCTGAGGACAGATCAGTAGCTACCAGGGACTGGGGATCTGGGGAGGGATTTACTAGAAGAGAATTTTTGGGAATGATCAAACTGTTCAGCTGGGCATCGTGGCTCACACCTGTAATACTACCACTCTGGGAGGCCGAGGCAGGAGGATCGTTTGAGGTCAGGAGTTCAGAGACCAACCTGAGCAAGAGCGAGAACCCATCTCTACTAAAAATAGAAATTAATTGGCCAACTAAAAATATATAGAGAAAAAATGAGCCAGGCATGGTGGCACATGCCTGTAGTCCCAGCTACTCAGGACGTTGAGGCAGGAGGATTGCTTGAGCACAGGAGTTTGAGGTTGCTGTGAGCTAGGCTGACACCATGGCACTCTAGCCCAGGTGACAGAGCAAGACTCTGTCTCAGTAAAAAAAAAAAAAGAAACTGTTCTATAGCTTGATTGTGGTAGTGGGTATTTAACTGCATGCATTTGTCAAAATTCATAGAACTATAAACCAAAAATAGGATTGACTGTATATAAATTATACCTCAATTTTTAAAAATCAAAAACAAAAACCCCCATAATTCTGTTGCATTTCTTATTTTAACTTGAACATAGTCATTTTAAATTTAATAGTACACACACCCATACACATACATGTGCATTCACATGACCATACACATGCATTACATGTGCACACTGCCTCACACACACTTATACATGATACACATGCCTGCTCATATGTGCACGTATGTGAGCACCTGTCCACACATGCAGACCAGACCCCAACCCCTCCCGAGTACCTGATCAGGAAGTGGACACAGACGATACTCTCTGACTGGGGGCCCCGGCCCCCGGACACCACTGTGGCCTGGGTCTGGGTCCACAGGTAGCCACCACTCCGGGCCAGGAAGCGATACTGCCCCGTTACTGCCTGGCCTTTGCTCAGCACTGGGGAGGGGGAGGGGGAGGGGAGGGGGGTCAGGGCCACAGAAGGGGCAGCTGGGGAGAGGAGGCTCTGGGGGCTGGGCATGGGGGAGCCAGGAAGGACAAGTTTCCCGGGGAATTGGGGAGCTGGTGCTGGGGTGGGGAGGGGAAGGCTCCCTGGGGTGCAGGGAGCTGGGGACCCAGTGTCAGCTCCAGGCCGGGGACACAGGACACATACAGGTGTGGATGCTCTTGCTGACCGCATCGGAGTCCAGCGCGTGGATGTACTCGTAGGCGGAACAGCCAATCAGGTCATCGGGACTGTAGCCGGCCACCTCCGCGATCCTGGGATGGGGGTGTCTCATCAGCCAGGGTGCGACTGGCTAAGGGGGAGGCTGGGTGGAGGGAAGAGGCAAGGGGACACAGGGACAGGCCAGTGAGACATAGACACAGGATTGTAACAGAGAGAAGGGGAAAGTAAGAAACAGAAAAAGAGGAGTGTATTGGGCTGGATAATGGCCCCAAAGATGCCCACATCCTAGTTCCCAGATCCTGTGAATGCGATGGCATCTTACGTGGCAAAAGGGACCTTGCCGAGGTGATGAAGTTAATCTTGGGATGGGGAATTGAGCCCGATTGCCAGGGTGGGCCCAGTGTGGTCACGGAGGGCCTTATAGTAATAAAAAGGGAGGCCGGCGGGTCAGAGTATGAAAAGGAGTGGCGTGGAGACAGAGGAAGGGGCCGCGGGCCAAGGGAAGCAGGTGGCCTTGAGGAGCTGGAAAAGGCAGGGACACAGATTCTTCCCTGGGGCCTCCAGAAGGAACACAGCCCTCGAGTTTTGCCCTCTAAGACTCATTTCCAATCTCTGACCCCCAGAAGGATGAGCCAGTGGATTTGTGTTGTTTTGAGCCACCGAGTTTGCGGGAATATGTTACAACGGCAACAGGAAACTGACACGAGGGAGAGAGGTCGGAAAGTGGGAGAAGAGCAAAGGAAAGAAAGTGCAAGAAATAGAAGGTGAGGAAGAGAGGAGAAGGAAGAAAATCACAAAAAGAAAGAGAGGAAAGAATGAAAAGAAATAGGCCGGGTGGGGTGGCTCACATCTGTAATCCCAGCACTTTGGGAGGCAGAGATGGGAGGATCACTTGAGCCCAGGAGTTTGAGATCAGCCTGGGCAACACAGCAAGACCCCATCTCTACAAAAAATAAACTAAAAAAATTAGCAGCCGAGGATGCTGGCATGCATCTGTAGTTTCAGCTACTTGGGAGGCTGAGGCAGGAGAATCGCTTGAGGCCAGGAGTTCGAGGCTGCAGTGAGGCTACAAATTGTCTCATGTAAGAAAAAGAACAAAGGGAGACAGACACTAACCGACAGAATCAGAGATACAAAACCCCGTAGAAAATCCAGAGATAGGTAGACACGGGACGAGAGAGAGGGGGTGGGTGGAAGGGGGAACAGGACGTGAACTTGGGCAGGACGGGAGAGGAAGAGCTGGGGGGCGGCTGGGCCCTGCCCACCTCTCGTCACAGTAGGTGAACTTCATGTCCAGGCTGTGGCGGCTGAGGAAGGCCCCCCGGCCCAGCGGGGGCTCCAGGCTGCCGGGGTGGGGGATGGCTTCACAGATGAGCACCAGGCATTGCAAGGGGGGCTCTGGGGTGGGGCTCCCAGCCGGGGAGGTCTTCGAGGGGGGCCTGTAGACCCTCATGTGCCCAGAACAGTGCAGCACCTGGGGCCGAGAGGGGTGAGGCAGGGAGGCATCAGGGCCCGGGCTACCCACGGGCTCCACGGGGACGCAGCCCCCACAGAGGACTCCACCAGACCCTCAGATTCCAACCCCAGGGAGATCCAGGCTCAAGGGCTGGGGAGCCCCTGCCCCAGGCCCACAGCCCAACCTCCTAGACGCCCTCGGGACCCACCAGACCCGGCCTGAGAGCCCTGCAGGCAGGGTCCCCAGCCCCGGAGCCCCCTGGACTGCCACCACCTTCGAGATCTTCAGGGGCTCAGGCCTGGCCTCAGCAGGCCGGGCACCCTCTGGGCCAGGCCCTGCCCACCTTCCAGGTGGCTGCCTTGAGGTTGAGGGTGCGCCCGCGGCCGGTGAGGGTGCTCTTCATGCGCAAGGAGAAGCACCGCTCCGTGGGTGCCTCTGGCTTCTTCTTGGACAGGCCTGGGGGAGGGTCGGGGTGGGGACATGTCACCAGGGAGCCTCAGATGGGGCCCAGTTCTCTCCAGCACCCTGGGGAGTCTCCCCCGCTTCATCCCCCAAATTGGGACCTGCAACCAGAGAGTGTCGCCACAGACCCCAGGGCGGAGCCACTTCTCCTCTTTCAACTTCCCTTAGTCTGGTGATCCAGAGGAGGAAGGGACATGCAGGGAGGCATGGAGCCTCAGTTTCCTCCTCTGTAAAGTGGGGACAGAGGCCACCAAGGAACTCACTCAGCCGGGGAGTCAGGGCGTCCTGAAGCTCCTCTTGGTCACAGGGATGGATGAAATCGAATATACTGTGTCCGATGAGCTCCAGCTGCCAGGGACGGGGGAGCAGAGGTCGTAGGTCGTGAACGGGGCCTCCGACCCGTGTCCTCCCTGCCACCCGCATCCCCTGGCCCAAGTGCAAAGGCCCTGAGACGAGACCCCACTTAAACCGCACCTGTTTGCCAAGCCCAAACCCAACTGCTCATTCCAACGTGGTCAGTGAGGCCGGTGCTGGGGGAGGGGACACAGATGACGGGGACACAGATGACGGGGACCCGCACCGGCTCCCAATCTGACAGCAGCTGGATTCACACCCTGGCTCAGCCACTCGCCCGCTTTGGGACCTTGGGACATTCACCTCTCCGAGTTCAAAAGCTCATACCAACAGAGACATTGGTACAGGAAGTGGGGTGACAAGGCAGGGAAAAGGGACAGATGCCAACCATGATATCCATTTACATGAAATAGAAAAGAGGATGGGAGCTTCCTCATGGGCTTGCTGTAAGGGTTAATTAAAGCTAGGGTCTTGTTTTTATCCTCCCAGCCCCATGGCCTCCCCCCTACACCCCTTCTCCCACCTGACATTGGCACCCACACTTTGATCTCCCAACATCCCCATGAGCACCTAGAGGGATCTTCCAAATATGTAAATCTGATTCTATCTGTCTGGCACAACCTCTCCACTGCTTCAAATCCCTCCATGGCTCCCCAGGGCCCTGGAGAGAAACCGTCTGATGTGGTCCTACATTGTCCAGCCCCTACTGACCTCTCTAGAATTTTCTCTCTCAACTTCTCCCATTGCACTCTGCACCTAGACAAGATAAACTTCTTCATTTCCCCAAAGTGCTCTGCTTCCTCTCGCCTCTGAGCCTTTGTCTGTTCCCTCTGTCGTATATCTTCCCGATCGTCACTGGTCCCACCCATTCCCCACACCCCTTTGAGTGGCCAATACCTTCAGGTTTCAGCCCAGATGTCCTTTCCTCCAGGAAGCCCTCCATTTTCCCCCAACCTGGGTCACGTATATCCTGCCTTTGGTCGCCCCCTCCCCCCAGGCTGTCCCATCCCAGCCCTGACCATTCTGGGCCTTCCCGTCTGGTGGCATGCCCATCTCCCCTCTGTACTGTGATTCCCATGTAGCCAGGGCCAAGACTGTCCTGGTCACCACTGTTTGCCCAGCGTCACCGGCACAGGGCCAGGCACAGAGCAGGCAGCTCCTCTCACCTGACTGAGGCCCAGGTGTTTGCTGACATTCTCCGACAGGTAAGCCATGTCTCCCTCGGCGGTGAGCACCATCACGAAGCCCTCCAGGGCCTTCAGGTAGCAGGCATCCAGGGATTCTCCCCCGGCTCCCACCTGGTTCCACTGCCCTGGTGGCCGGGGCAAGGGAGACAGGGGTGTCTCTGGTCAGTTGTGGGTCCCCCATGGCTAGGCTCCCACCAACCAGAGAAACTTACAGTTCCCCCCAGGTGAGGGGCGGGGCACATCCTAGTGGCTGGGAGTCCCAAGGAAGAGGGCAGGACCACCAAGCATTGGACTTAGGAGCAGGGTCTCCCAGGGGACAGAATTCTAAGGGTCCGGGGCCTAACAGGGAGTTGGAATACAGTGGGTGGGCAAGTCTCCCAGGGGTTCAGAATTCATGGGGGACGGGACCTTCCAGGTGGGCAAAACTCTAAAGATGTAGGGACTCCCAGGGGACAGAATTCTAAAAGGGCAAAGCCTCCCATAGAGGTAAAATTCTATGGGGCAGGGAAGGTCCAACGAGCAGAACCTGCCAGAGCAGGGCTCTACTTCCCTCACAGTAAAATCTTTTCAGGGTCCAAGGATTCCAAGGGAGGGCGGGCGTGTGTGTGTGTGTGTGTGTGTGTGTGTGTGTGTGTGTGTCTGTGCGTGCATGCGCACGGCAAGGCCTCCTGCATAATTTAAAGTCAAGAGGATGGCTACTAAGGGAAGAAGTGGCAGAGCTAGAGGGGAGGAGAGGGGAAGAGAGACTCTCAAGTACAGTAATGAGCCTCCCTCCGGGTATGTATTTATTTATTTTTTGAGACAGAGTCTCGCTTTGTTACCCAGGCCAGAGTGCCGTGGCGTCAGCCTAGCTCACAGCAACCACAAACTCCTGGGCTCAAGCAATCCTGCTACCTCAGCCTCCCAAGTAGCTGGGACTACAGGCATGTGCCATCATGCCTGGCTAGTTTTTTATATATATATTAGTTGGCCAATTAATTTCTTTCTATTTATAGTAGAGACGGGTCTTGCTCTTGCTCAGGCTGGTTTCGAACTCCTGACCTGGAGCTATCCGCCCGCCTCGGCCTCCCAGAGTGCTAGGATTACAGGCGTGAGCCACTGCGCCTGGCCCCTCAGGTATTTATTATAAGAGGACAGGGTCTATCCAGGAAAGTCTCCTAGGGCTGCGGTCCCCATATCGACCCCAGTACCGGTCCATGGCCTGTTAGGAAGTGGGCGGTGCTTCACCACCTAAGCTCCGCCTCCCTACTCCCCTCCAGTCCGTGGAAAATTTGTCTTCTATGAAACCGGCCCCGGGTGCCAAAAAGGTTGGGGATCCTTGTCCTAGGGGACCAAATCCTAACGGCTGAGGGGCCTGTGGGATTGAGCGGCCCTCACCTACTGTCCTAAGGAGGCGGGGCTTCCCAAGGCGCACCCTTAGGGGCGGGGCCTCACAGGTGATAGACATCTAAAGGGGTGGGGCTCCAGCGGGCCGGAGCCTCTACGGGGAAGTGGATTCCAGAGGGCGGGGCTCCGCCGGGAAAACGTCATCAGGGGGCGGGGCAGGGATAAGCTTCCCGGAGGCGGAGCCTCCCTGGGGTGTAGCTTTCTGTGGGCGGGGCCCTGGCGAGACGGGCGTTCCCGGGGCGGGGCTCACCCGCGGCGCAGAGGCGGTGCATGCGCAGGTAGCTGATGGTGAGGCGCATGATCGAGGCCTTGTCCAGGTGGGCGCTGACGCCGCGCGCGAAGGGCAGCGTGTGCGCCAGCTGGTACAGCACCTCGGTCTCCTGGCTGCGCCGGCTGCGGGCCGCATCCCGGGACTTTTCCTTGCGCAGCTCCGTGCTCGACCTGAGGGCAAGCGCTGCGTTCACTGGTGGCGTCCCCGAAAAGGAAAGAGGACTACGGGGACGCGCCACATGCGGCCCGGGCTCTTTGAGGGCAGGGCTGCGGCTGTGCAGGCCTCGCTGGGTTCGTGGCGCTCTCCGGCCTGGGAGGGTTCCACCCTGGAATCCTCCTAGTCCCGGATCTTACCTGTTCCTGAGCCAGCCCATACTGCCCTCCCGCGCGCTGCTGTTCTCGGAGGCGCGCCTAGGGCCCTTCTGTCCCCTCCCTGACTTTTCTGCAGTTTATTTCCCTGGCTAGGGACGCCCCGGGAACGGGGAGGCCTCCTGCTAGGAGGGGGCTGGCCGAGCTGGCCTGGGGCCAGGGGAGGGAGGGGGCGTCCCAGGCCCCCTGCCCTACAGCCTCCCAGAATCTCCTCCCTTGTCCTTTCCCCTGGGCCAAGCTGAGTCCTCATAATCTTGGAACATAGATCTCAAAGTCTAACGGCCCACTAAGAGGGGCAGGGACCTGTCAGGGTGACTCAGGAAACCAACCAGTTCTGTCCAGCCGACAGCTTGCATTCCTGCCCGGTAATCCACTTCAAATACCTGCATTTTGCGTGTGGGGGCTAGAAATATGAGTATCTTTTTGTCACAAATATCTGCCCCTTATCCAGCTTTTACTAGTATGCCAGACCCTGGGCCAAGAGTGAACCTTGTTAACCCATTTAATGCTCAGACAGCCCTAGAAGAAAGTTATAATGACATTCCCATTGAACAGATGAGGACACTGAGGCAGAGTGAGGCAGTGCTTGCCCATAAACAGTGAAGCCAGGGTTTGAAAACTGGTCTACCTGAACTCTTAAATTTTCCCTGTTTCTATGTCCCTGGGTTTATCTCCAGGTTTTTGCGCCACTCCCTGTTTCTGCCACTGTCTTCAAATTCAAACCCCAGGTCTGTCGGAGCCCATTGTCTCTATACTTTCATTTTTGAATAAAAAATTACAGGGTGTATTACATATAGTATAGCATATAGTATAGTCTTATCTATGTTTATAATATTAATAAAACCATTAATAGTAAGCAGCTGTTATTTGCTAAGCATTTCTGTGTCTGGCGCTGTGCCTCTGCGTACTCATTCAATCCTCAGGGGAGCCCTAGGAGGGAGGCATTTTAGACCTCCATTTAACAAAGGGGAAACCGAGGCTCTGAAAGGTAAAGTCCTTTTTGCCCAAGAAGTTACAAGCAGGTAACTGGCAAAGCTGGAATTGGAATCCAGGTAGGGAGGTTCCAAAACCTCAGTCTTTTCTCTAATTCCCTTCTTGGGACCCCTCCCAGGGAAGCAGGACCAGCTGCCAGTAGGGCATGCTGTCCCTTCTTAAGTTCAGGGGGAAAAAGGCAGCTTCTAGGGTGGCATCAACCTTAGCCCCAGGCAGACCTGCAGCCCCACCCCCAGGGAGAGGGGAGGAGATTTCCTATATAGATGCAAAGGGGGGGGACCCACCCTTGATGCAACAGGGTGGGAGGCACAGAAGGGGAGCAGGCAGAGTGGAGGGTTGAAGGGTGAGATATGGCCCCCATCCCCTCCCTCCTGGTTGCTGGGGGCAGGGGCCTCAGTCCTGCCTGCCCTAGAGGACATTCCGTCCTGTTCTCTTCCAGCCCTGTTTGTCTTCCTGCCCAGAGGGTGGGGGAGAGAGTGGGCCTCCCTGAGCTGGGGGCCCAGACAGAGGGAACAGGCAGCTGGGCTCTGGAACTCTCTCTTCGTGGCAGGGCTGCTTCCTCCAAAGAAGCAGCCAGCTGGGGGCTGCAGAGGGACCCTCCTTCCAGCTCCCAGCCTGTTCCTGGAATGTTCTAACATCTCTAATGGGAAATGTGGGCCTCTCTGGTTAAACAGAGTGTGGGGGCTAAGTTCCTCCAGTTCCAGGTTTCAATCCCGCCTTCACTGCTTATCAGCTGTGTGACTTTGGGCAAGTTGCACAGCCTCCCTGAGCATAGTAACAGCACCTACCTCATAGGGCTGTTTTGAAGATTAAATGAGTTAATATATATCAAGGACTTAGAAAACAGAACCTGGCAATGGGTTAGTGCTACATAAAGGTTAAACTTACTATTCTCCCTTTGTGGGATCAGGGATGGAAGGCTCGGGCTTGGGAGCCTCTTGGGCACTGGGGTAACCTGTGGGCCGTGGTGGTGACCCCACGGTGTGGCGTATGTGTACAATTACACGGTTTTTATTTTTCTTTTTTTTTTTTTTTTACTCAAGGAAGACCCTGTGCATATTACACGGTTTTTATACAAGCACCTTGGGAAGAGGACTGAATAATAATGATAGTAGTAATAGTGATAGCGTTGGTGTATTGAACACTCACGGAGCTAGAGACCCCATCAAATCCTTACAACCACACTATGGAGCAGAAGTGAGCTCCTTCATAAAGAGGAAGAAACCGAGGGTCAGAGCAGCCCTTGCCCAAGTAACCCTGGGGTAATCCCAGCACCGCCATCAATGCTCAACTGTGCTTCCCTGCTTCTCAGTTAATGCAACCACCTTGCTGATACCTTCCGCATTTCCTGATGAGGACACAGGCTCGGGGAGGTGATGGAACTTGCCTAAGGCCATACAGCTTTGCATAGCAGAGCAAAGATTCAAGCCAGGTCTACCTACTTCCACCCAGAACTCTGGCTTGATCGCAGTTTACTGCACACCTACTAGGTATCCGGGCCCCCAGGTCTGTTTCCTCACTGGTTCCTCGTCTTGCTCTGGGGTTGGGGAGGGGAGGTATGACCCCTATATTCCAGGATATGAAACTAAGGGTCAGAGAGGCAGCCACTGGCACAAGGCCATACAACCAGGAAGTGGGTGAGCTGGGATTTGAACCCTGACTTTGGGGCCTGTGCTTTTGGCAGTTGTGCCCACCACCCAAGGGGCCCCTGCCCTGCTCCTCTTTCACCTAGTGGCCATGGTCCCTTCCCCCATGCCACCCCTGCTGCCTCCTGATCTCCCCAGCTGGCCCCATGCCCAGCCCTGGGCCAGCCCCTTGGCACTCTGCCCAGCTGGGGACGTGCAGTTGGAAGCCTGCCACCCTTCCTCTGTGTTCCAGCCCAGAACACGGGGTGGGGCCACCGGCTGGAGGCCTCAGGGAGAGGCCTGGGAAAGGGGCTGGGGCCCGGTGCCCCCTGTCCCAACCAGGAGGGAGAGAAGCCCACCTTTTCCCTGCCCTGAAGGGCTGGCCAGCCGTGAGCAGCAGCATGAGGAAAGTGGGGAGACTGAGCCCCGCATTCCAGGCTGCTTCTGGGCCTCTCTCTTCTGATCCTCAATCGGGTATTAGGGGTCTTGCAAAAAGTGAAGGATCCGGAGCTGGGGGGTTTAGATTGCACGTGGGCAAGGAGTCCTCTTGGTATTGCCCAGAGCTAGTCTGAGAGGCCAGGGGCAGGGTTTGGGTTTGAAACGACTCAAGACTCAGAGTGGGGCTGGGGGGTGATCTCCCTTCCCCTGATTCTTCTTGTGCCCAAGGACATTGTAATCCAGTGGGGTGCCCATCCCCAAAGTCCTGTCTTCTTCGGGAACTCTCTACCTCGGTTGGTCACTCAGGGCCATGTACCCATCAAGGACTTCCAAGAACAGCCTTGCTCAGGGCAGGTTGGCAGCGAGCCCAAACTGGAAGAAGGGAAGGGGGCCACTGGAAAAAGAGGTATGGGGGGGCCCACTCACCATTGCCCAGGCCCCCTTTGGCTGAAGTGCCACCTGGGGTGTGCAGGAAGGGACGAGCGCAGGCGGGATCGGGTGCGAGTTATGAGTGGGAGGTGCGCAGCGCTGGGATGGCACCACAGGAGAGGGCTGGCCTTGAGTGAGGACGGGGGAGCACCCCAGCTCAGCCAGGAGGGGCCCCCACCCAGCCAGGAGGGGCGCTGGGAGGCGGGGCCAGGGATGGCCCAGAAGGGGTGACATAGAGTTCCCTGGTCGGCCCAGAGCCAGGGACTAGAGTAGAACGAGGGGGGCTGACTTTAGGAAGGAGGTAAAAAACATGGGGGTGTGGACCGATCCAATCAGATCCGCAAAGCCGGGGAGGAGGGAAGGGGGTGAGGCTTACGGGATGCCTCAGATTGGACAGGGAAAATTAAGGCCCTGGGACATTTTCCGGGGTCCCATGAGAACATGGCCAGATGGGACCCTCTGGCAGTGGTCCCCGAGCACGGGTTCCCGTCTGCCCCAGCAGAGCCGCACCTGCGGAGAGGCGAACCCAGAAACCCGCCGTCTGCCCAGGAGAGCCCCGCCGAGCACTGCGCAGGGGGCTCCCGCCAGCTCCCACCGCAGCCCAGCCCGAAGAGCTCCCACTCCATGGGGTCTCCCCCAGATAAGCCTTCGATGGGGCCCCGTCCTTGGGTAAAAGGGGCTGGGTGGGTGGCGGTGGAGGACCGAGACAAAGGGCCAGACTTTGGGAAGTGGGTCAGTCTTATTTAAGGCTCCAAAAAGGCCCCTGGGAAAGGCCCCGGGCGGCTTCTGAAAGGGCCCCCCCTCTCTGCTCATTTCTAGGAAAACCCAAAGTTTGAGAGCCTGTGTCAGGAAAGGTCCTATCAAAGCAGATCTTTCTTCTCTTGAACCCAGGAGCTGGCTGACACTCCAAGGGACTCCCCATATCTGGGAAAGGCTCAGTTTGGGGGCATCTCATATTTCCTAGGACCCCGGGGGTCTATGGCAAAGAACAACCTCAGTCCTGGGGGTTCGGGGGCAGAGGGATCAGTATGTGTTGGGAGAGTAACTCCCAGAAGCCCGGGGACCGCTCAAATGCAGCTACCCCTAATTCCGCACCCCCAGCCAGGCGGGGAACCGAGCCTGGGGCAGCAGGAAATCGGGATCACGACCCCGAAGTCGCTCTGGACGAGACGGGCGGGGTAGCCGGGGACCTGGGGAAATCCCCCACCCCTGCAGTCCCCCAGGGTGGAGGGTGCGGCTGGGACGCGCCTGCAACTTCGCATCCCGGGCGTCCTCGGCTCGCACCCGCGCACCCCTCCACCACCCAGCTCAGGGGGCTCCGGAAGGAGGGGACCCCCAATCCCCATCTTTCCTGTCCCCGAACCCAAGTACCTCGCGCGCTGCAGCCCCAGCGCCATGGCTCGCCGGTCGCGGCTCCCGAGCCCTCGGAGGCCCCCAGCCCCCTCCCCTGGCCCCGCGAGCCCCCTCCTCAGCCCCGCCCTCCGCCCCGTGGTTGGCTGAGCCGTGCCGGCCCGCGGCTCTGGTTGGCTGAAAGGCCTGTCACTCTCGAGAGGAAGGCGGGACCAGAGGAAAAGACTTGGAACTCCGAGAGGAGTGGGGGACACCGTGCAGTGCACACCCCCTCCCCCACCCGCGCCCCCGCCGCGGACTTCCTCGGCTGTGTCGCCCGCGCCGCCCGCGGGCCGCGACTTCTCCGGCCCAGCCTCCGGAGTTCCAGCACCGGCACCCTTCGGAACCTGCCCGGTTCGCTCTGTTCCCTGCCCCCCAGCCCCGCCCTCGTTATGACCCTCACCCCGGTCTCGCCCCTCCATTTCCTGCGCCTGCGACCTCCAGTCCCACCGCTTCCAATGTCCCGGCCTTCTCTCCCCGGGCGCCCCTGATCGCGTTCGCTGAGTCCCCAACTTGCTTCACCTCCCAACCCCACCCCAGTCCCACAGTCACTCGCCCTCAGGATCCCAACGCTGGCTCTCGGTCCCCAGCCCCTCCCTACCGCCCCTGTCCCCGGCTCGCCCCGCCCCCTCCCCGCCCCCATTCGTCCAGTCCGGCGTACACCTCAGCCTCCTTCCCCGCGCCCCTCAGGGCCTTTGCACTTGCTGTTCTCCCAGAAATCCGCACAGCTCCTCCCCTCACCCCAGTAACCCACTCAGTTTTCTTTGGGGAACCCAATTCTCTCCCCTCTGAGTCTATTTAACTTGAATAGGACTGGCATGGCCCTGTCCTCACCAACTCCAGGGAGGGACGTAGGGTCCAGACCCAGCCAATCAGTTTATTCTGTTTCCCTGGCCACAGCGACTGGCCCAGCGAAGGAAGGTAACCTAACTCAGCCCAGTGAGAACCAGACGTGAGACATTTGCTGCAACTCTCAGGAAAGAGCTGTTCTATTTCTGCTGGAGTTGCCAAGCTGGAGCTGGTGGCGCTCACACTGCCATGAAGAGGGGAGAGGCTTTGGGAAATGAGTAGAGCAGAAACGAACAATTGTGAAAGACAGTCTTGATGCTAGCACTTGGGTGCCTGGATCTAGCCATACCTGAACTCCAATTTAATCTTGGACTTTCACATGAACCATTATGGAATTTTTTTTACTGTTGCCAAATGTTGCTTTATTTATTATACTGTTCTTTTATTTACTTTGTGCTTAGGTTAGTTAAGTGGATTTTAGATGATTGCACCCAAAAGAATCTTGCAGAACAGAGAAATTCACTCTCAATCCTCAGTTTAGAAGCATGTGGGGTATAAGAAAATGAGAGGCCTGAAAAATTAGAAAGGGCTGCAGGGGAAGCAGTGTTCTTAGGATTGCTCAGAGTTTAGGTAAAAACATGCAGTAAATAAATGTTCAAGGAAAAAACTGAGGAGGGTGTGGTTGTTAACCAGGAAAGTTCCAGAGGGTATGTTGGAAGAGTTTGGAGAGGGAGGCAGGGAGGGCTGATGATTCAGTGGAAAGAAAGTACCCATTGCTAATGGGACAAAGAGGTCATAGCAGATAGACAATCTGAGGGATTGACAAGCTCGAGGAAAGCTGGCACTTGTTAAACATTAAAATAGAACAAAAACTTTATATATACAGAGGCACTAGGTGCCTACGATCTGGGTCGGCATTAAACTTCACTGAGAGTTTCCCAGCAGCTAAGGCAATAAGGGAAATGTGTGTGCTGAAATGGTTTCCAACTTTTGCTAAAGGATGTGTCCTTGTTTGTCTGGAGAGACAAGTTTTGTAAGTGGAACCGAAATTTAGAGGGAACTTCAGAACTTTTTATATGAAAATGTAGAGTGGTCTAAGCCACCAGGGACCATGGGAGCTTGGTTGAGGCCTCAAGAAGGGTTGCAAACTGAATGCAAACTTGAAGGATGAATAAAAGATAGAGAAAAGTCCCGTGGGCAGAGGGAAGGGGAATACAACTGCTTGGAGGCAAAAGAGAGCTTGGCACATTGAAGGGGCTGGCACGTAGGCTGTGGTTGCAGGCTGGAGTGTAAAGAGAGGAGGTGGGGGGTGATGGAAGTGGGGTGCACAGGGGTGAGATTAAACCAAGCCTGGAAGCCATTAAAGAAGCTGGGACATTTCCCAGGGAGCACTGAGGAATCATAGCAGAGTTTTGGGTAGGACAGGAACACAACATGTGCCTTATACAGATTCTTCTGGATGCTACGTGCAGGGTGGAGGAGAGAGGGTGAGATTGGAGGTTAGAGGCCAAGAAGGAGGTGGGGGCAGACCTGGGTGTAAAGAGAAAATGCCTGGGCCAGGGCAGGGGCCAAGGACCGCAGACGGACTGAAGAGACAGGGAGGTTTACCAACAATAGATTGGACGAGCAAACTGTGGTCCACCCGTGCAATGAATACCGTGCTTCCCCAAAAATAAGGCCTACCTGTAAAATAAGCCCTAGCAGGATTTCTAAGCATTTGCACAATACAAGCCCCACCCTGAAAATAAGACCTAGTGATGGGCGTGGCCACGCAGCGCATCTGCACAGCCCGTGCATTTGGTCGCAGAGTGGCAAAGAAGACGAGCAGCCCTTCTCACCTGCCCCATGAGAGCTCTATGGCTCGACATGAGAGATTGGGGCCAATGGTTCTAAAGGAAATACAGTCACAAGAAATTCAGGATGCAATTCGGGGTTTGGAGAGTCGTGATGATGTTCCAGAAGATGATGACTTAACTATATTTGCATAAATGTAGATCGTTGTACCATACTTAAAAAAAATAACACATGCCCTGAAAATAAGCCCTAGGGTGTTTTCTTGAGGAAAAACAAATATAAGACCCTGTCTTATTTTCGGGGAAACACGGTACTACTCGGCAAGAAGAAGGAATGAACTACTTTCCACAAGAAAGAGCATCTGAGACCTAAAATGTTACTGTTGCCATTTGGGGGTAAAAATCGTCTGTCACACTCTTCCTAGGACAATATCTTTTTTTTTTTTTGAGACAGAGTCTCACTTTGTTGCCCAGGCTAGAGTGAGTGCTGTGGCATCAGCCTAGCTCACAGCAACCTCAAACTCCTGGGCTCAAGCGATCCTCCTGCCTCAGCCTCCCGAGTAGCTGGGACTACAGGCACGTGCCACCATGCCTGGCTAATTTTTTTCTCTATATATAATTTTAGTTGGCCAATTAATTTCTTTCTATTTTTATAGTAGAGACGGGGTCTTGCTCTTGCCCAGGCTGGTTTCGAACTCCTGACCTTGAGCGATCGCCTGTCTCGGCCTCCCAGAGTGCTAGGATCGCCTGTCCTAGAGCCAGGCGCCATGGGCCACGGCGCCTGGCTCTAGGACAATATCTTTGTGCTCTGCCTGTGAGCAGCATCCTGGAGTCACAGGTCTTGGGATTCCAGGGAAGAAAGTCTTGTTTTGTTGACAGGGAGACAGGGTTCAGCAACATAAACCAGAAGTGTACACAAACCCAATTCTAATAAGTCAGCGCCTCTGGCCACTCTCTCCTGCACATCTGCTTGGACATTTTACTTGCCCAACAATCACTTCCCCTGACTCACCCTCCCTACTGCCCAAGGATGGGGAGAGTTGCTCCTAGCCCATTCACAGCCACCTCTTGTGATCTGATTTTATCTCCAATCCCCCTGTACCTGACTCTGACTCCTAATACGGTGGGTTTATAAACTCCAGCTGTCATCCCTGGAACACTGCCAAGGGCAGAAAATCCCTTTAAACTCAAGCCAAGGCCAACCTGGAATCAGGTTGTGGAAATAACAATACAAGTCCCAAGCATGTTGCACAGGTGTTGTCTTAAGCCTGGCGCATTCCTGTTCTTATTGGAATGTCACCACAGCCTCATTTAGTGG